TGGAAATGAGTCCCTGAAGTTCAAAGCCCCATAAATAAAATCAGAGTCAGCGCCCCCAACAACAATCTGGGTCCTCATTTTACCCACCTCCGAAGGATGGAAGGCTGAGTCAACCCTGAGCCGGTGAGATTTGAACAGGCGAACTGCAGAACTGCAGTCAGCTGAAGTAGCCTGCAGTAGTGCTGCATTTAACCACTGCGCCACCTCGGCTCTCATGTTAAGCCCAAACCAAATAAGTGACATTAAATGACATTTAATCCACTGCATCAACCAAGCTCATGTCAGATCAACCCCTCCTTCAACGTAGCGCCAAGTGGGAAACTTACCTTGTGTACGAACTGGCTCTGAGACCGGGCTGGGATCACTGAGGCCATAGGAGTTGACAGCTCGTACAAGGAAGAGGTAAATGGTGTTTGGATTCAAGCCACTGACTGTGTGCTTTTCAAGCTTGACATCATCTGCCACGGTTTGCCAAGTGCTGCCTGAAGACTGACTGCAATGGGACAGAGTTCAAAAAGGAAGGAAGGAAGAGACAGCACAGGCTTCATGTGTGCCCTTGGCCTCTGATTTAGCTGGCTTAGCAAAAGTCTGATTTAACAACACCCTGATTTAGCAAAATTCAGAGGCAGAGAGATCCACCAGTGGTGCCTGGTGTGCATGCTTACAACGTCCCCACAGTTTACCTTGAGATCAACGAGCAATAGAAATTTAGCTTAATTTAATTTCATTCCTTTTTATTCACTCTATTTAGGCACCACTGACTCCCAACAACTCTAGGTAACTCACTGCATAACAACGAAGATAAGACAAGTCAAAATCATAACCAACCAACCAAAATAAGTAAAAGCAGATTACCAATGTGACAATAACGGGTAGGACTTTCGATATATGCCAACGATTAGTTCAGATTTTTCTTATCATGAAATGCAGGAAATTAGAGGCTCCATTAAGACAAGACTATTGACGGCTTGTGACATTCGTGAACAACTATTTGGGCTCAGGCAAACCTCATGAAGACCCACTTTTTTCCTCTGGCTGTTGGGTTCCCCCAGATGGTCTTGGGTTACCCCCCTGGCATTTTAGATTCCCCACACTTCCCTAAAGGAAGATGGTGCAAAGCATTCTGGGAAATTTGAAAAGGCGGGTGGATTTTAGCTGCTTGCTATGGAAGATGGCCCTCTTCCCCGAGGAGGGACCATGATGGATGGCATTAGAAAGAGACCAATTTGTCCAGACGGTCTCCCTACCAGCCTTAAAAGATCTCAGCAACTGCAGAATGACTTTGCAATTAGAAGCACAGACGCTGCAGTTATAAGCCCGGCCTTTTGTAGACACAAAGGAACGGTAGACAAGATCCCTGTTTGCCTTAACCACTGAATTTTAAGGTTCACAAAATTGTTTTAGAATTGCTGCCCGCTTTGAGCTTTCAAGGTCCAGAATTCAATGGAGCTCTGATTGACAAGCTTTTGGCTCAGGTACAAAATGTAAACAGGGACTTGGCCCTTAGCCCAATCTATTCTCCCTGCAATCAGAAAATCTATTTTTTGTGAGCTTTTTCGACTCTGCTTCAAAGAGGTGCAATTTTTCCGTAGCCTTTAAATGGGATGCGGGAACAATGGGGTAATATATGTTCCATGCTGGAAGCTAGAAAGAGATGAACCTGAATGCAACACCAGGACATTTCCAAGGCTTAGAATGGGAGAGCTCAGAATTCAGATCGGCTCTGAATTCTACGCTGAACACACAGATGCTCAAGTCCACGCTAAAGAGGATTTGTAGCAGATGCCAGGCTGAGCCCAGCCTTGTGTTTCTGTGCCCCTTCGTGCATGCTCCCATACAAGTCTGGATTAGTTTACTCAATGATTTATGAGGTAGCAGGGGTACCTCCCTGTTTGCCAAACCCTCTCACTGTAAGTGACTTGCTCAGCCACCTGCGCTTCCCCCCAAAAACTCCCCTTCCAGAACAGATGGCTCTGTTAGGTAAGGTGTGTGCAAACCACATGAAAAAGAAGAGTTTTCCTTCATAGACGCATCCCTTGGTAGCTCAGCTGCAGGGAGGTGGAATCCGAACAGGGCCTGTGTTGGTGATATGTGCGTCGTGGGCAGGAATCACAAACAGAAGCTTAATATGGATTTAGCAGGGGAGGAAATGGATGGTCTTGGAATGTACCGACAGCAAAAAAATTTACACAGCTGCCTGGATCTGCTCTCTTGCCCTCTGAAAATCTAGCTCCGGACACAGCTGATAGATGGGGAAGTGTGTGTGGGGGGGGGGGGGGAGAGAAAACAGCTCAGATCTTTATAAAGCTAAGTCTTCTTTTTCGTGACCCGTCAAAACCGTGCTCGACTAAGCCGCGCCCGATTAAACCTCGTTGCTGACGTCATCAACAGGGCGACAACAGCCAGCGCGGAG